TTGAGGATGTGAAACGAAATAAATTTTTTTAATTTATATATACATTTTGAAATTACCAAAAATCATAAATTACTATATCAATACCATAAAATTCCACTATAATATATCAAGCATAGTAACTAAGCTATATTCGGGTCTAAAAGTATGAAATTTCGAGCTCACTAAAGTTTTTATCTTAACAGCTGGAATCTTGTATAAAAAGAATGGGTTCCGTATTCATATATTCTGAGCTTTCCATTGGTTATTCACACGTCGGTAGGTGTACGTAAACGTTTCCATAAATGGAAAGAGGTGGGCATGGCCACTGTGTTTGAGTCAGTAAATGTAACAATATCTCAGTAAATAGAAAAGATAGGAAGTTCTTATTTTATATTTTAGGTTTGTCGATATAGGTAATTTGAGTTCCTAATTCTTCAGAAACTATACACTTTGTAGTTGGACATCACAAACATCTAATTAGAACCAATGCTGCATTCGACATTCCATGTGACACAAAAATTGATATTTAGATGTGGTTTTTTAATATTTGCTTTTAAGTTAAGAAGTTAACTAATGTATAATACTAAAATTTGAATTATAATCTTCAATTTGATACTAAACTTATTGACATAAATTCATAAAATAGTAGTTGAATAAACAAACGCAATGGCTTGGCCTTTGACCCCTGACCCATGTCAGTAGGGTTAAGAGACTAAATAGAAAGGATATGAATATTCATCAGAAATGAGGTCATATCAATAAAAAGGTTAATCTAATGAGCACTGTAACAACTAGGCTTATATAATACATGAAATCAGAAGGTGTTTAAGCCAACAAGCAGTCCACCAAAATGTATAGATATACAAGAATCTTGAGAATGAAAATATAATATTTTTGTCATTATCTTCACGTTATTTCAGATGAAAAGAGGCAAGCTACTTGTTTTCCCAGTCAGTCTAATGGTGCACAATCTTGTGAGAAAAATCACAATCTCTCAGAAACTTGATTCCACCAGTGCCATTTTTTGATGAAAACAAAAGTCTTGATGATACAGCAAAGTATTGTTGCATCAGCGAGGTCACGTGACTAGTGTCACGCCACCTCTCGAACCTTCGGGAATAG